GCGTGGCGTGGGGAAATATTTAGGGGAAGCCCATTTTTTTGGGTTGGTTGGGGGGGGGGGGGGTGGTCAATAACGTAACCAGATTAGTGATTACAGCGCCCGGTATCATTTTACACACATTTGTATCACACAGATGCAGGACTTGCACACGCCTGTTATCTAACCGACAGGTCCGCACGCACTCTCCAGCCGAAACTCTCGTTTTATTCATTTAAGCATTTTCTTATTAATTTATGCAGACACACCCCCCCCCCCAAATGCAATACCAGCCGCTCAATGCGCAGTGCATTAATTCACAAAGTAAATCAGGAGACCTTTAAAGGGCCCATGTCATAGCCATTTCCACTGATCATAATTACATTGTTGAGGTATACTAAAATAGATTTATACTGTGCAATTTTCCAAACTCACATTGGTTTCGCATACAGCATCTCTGTCAAGCATGTGTATTCAGCAGTATTCACTTTCTCCACTAAACGACTCGTTGGAGCTCTTGCCCCCCCCTCCCTGTGAGCCTAGTGTGCTCCGATTGGTCAGCTCGGCCACTCTGTTCTGATTAGTCAACCACCAGAGAGGCTGCGCCCATGTCTAAACGGCTGCTCTCAGCCGAACATCAGTCTTATCATGGCGTATATTTTATATACATATATATATTTTTAACTGTTGTTATAGAAGAGTGTGACGGCCCCAGGACATTGTAGTTGATATATTTAAACGCTAGCAACGTAGCATCACAAAAATGTTTTTCCGACCAAAGCTAGCTCTAGCTCTAGCTCTAGCTCCGTGTTAGATCGGTTGCATACACGCTACGCCAGCTATAATGTAATTACGTTTCGCTAAGCCATTGACACAGTGCTAACTGTGCTAACTAAGTTGCTAGAGTTTCCATATATCAACTCTAATATCAGCAGATGGCCTTGCATACATGTATCTCATAGCAGGAGAATGTCTGCATTCACATACAAAATACCTATTGAGCTAGCTCTAGCTCTAGCTCCGTGTTAGATCGGTTGCATACACGCTACGCCAGCTATAATGTAATTACGTTTCGCGACTGACCGCACGGCAAATCACCCGGAGTATACTGTCAATAGGTATTTTGTGTGTGAATGCAGACATTCTCCTGCTATGAGATACATGTATGCAAGGCCGTCTGCTGATATTAGAGTTGATATATGGAAACTCTAGCAACTTAGTTAGCACAGTTAGCACTGTGTCAATGGCTTAGCAGTCCAACACAGTTTACACATTTAAACAGTCTTGTTTGATAAATACACAAATAACAATGCAAACTTACAGGTTGTGTACCCGGATCTTCCCCTGCTCCAAACGGTCCAAACAAGCTGTGCATATCCGGCCTCAAACTGGGCAATGTTTTGGAAGCTTTCGTCTGTGAACTGCCGGTTCTTCGAACCTCTGGAGGAACACGCCGCTGCTGGTGTGGCCATAGCTCTTCGGGATTGGTCCATTTCGTTCCGGGTACCGCATGACATCAGGCGGTACCCGGAAGAATCAAATGGGCAGTGACGTATCTCCAACGAGGCGTTTTGGGGAGGTATTTTCTGTGTTAGAGTTTTACTCGCTACAGGGTGTACTTTCAGGGTTTTGACTCTGCACACCGTTTACATGCATAAAAACCTTCATAACACACAAGGGGACGGGTAATAACCGGAAAAGCATGACATGGGAGCTTTAAAGTTTTATGTACACATCAAAGTATCAGTAGGCGTGTATGAAACACATGAATTCAAAAACAATTATGTACAGAAACATTTGCATGCGATAGTCCACCTTCTCTTCCCTTCCCTTTCTAACACACGGCAAGTGCAGCAACAGTCCTCGTCTCTGTAATTAGCTCAGTCCGTAGTCCAAAAGTAACTAAAAAATATAAACAATCTCATCTATTCAGGTGAAATCGCCAGCCGCCTCTGAAGGGAAGCCAGAAGCAGCTGGCTTCCCTTGGCATGGCCCTGACCAATCACAGGTTGGCAGGGGCATCACGTGGGCCTCATCTGATTGGTCAATCCCTCCATTTTTTTCACCAAGGGAAGCCCAATCTGACTGGCCTCCTCTCGCAACAGTGAATGCAATCTACTGTTTCACCATAACATCTAGAGGGGCGCTGATTGTTTCACTCTTTGTAAAATACTCAATGAGAGTCGGGGAGAGACGGGCCGGCAGCAACACACAGCAAAGGAGAATTATCGAAACAAAACAAAGTGTTTTTATTTATTTATTTAAATTATAACTACAATCCGAAAAAACAGGGGAAGCCTGGCTTCCCTTGGCCTCCGGGAGAAAACGCCACTGCTTTCTAATGCTTCTACTGTAATGCCTTTTTTGCAGAGGTTCAAAGCATTGACTACAGACAAACAGTGCCATTTCTCCCACTAGTTCAAGCCACCATACTTGTATCTATCAGTGAGGTTCATGGCTGGTGAGGCACTGACTCTTTCAGAGTCAGATTTACAAATATTATAGCCTATTTTGACCTTAATCGAAATATTCTGTTATTTTCAAAAGCTTTTTTAGTCTGATGCTATGATTAATTTTAAACAGACCGATCAACAAAAGGATACCCAAAATCTAAATATTGGATTGTTCTTTCTAAGTAAGATCCCATTTTCATTACAGTTATGGTCTTACCTTGACTTGAAGATGAATATAAGTCCATGCTATCCTTCTGGACAACAATCTCTATTACTGTTTAGAGAGATTACTAAAGCAAATAAAGAGAGTAGGCCTGTTATACTGAGTGATATATATTATACACACTGCTCTGCTTTCTGCACGGACCTCACAGCTGTTCTCACTGTAAACATCGCGTCGCGATGAAAGCAGTTCATAAAATAATATCCAGGGGATGCATGCAGAGCTGTCATTGGCTGAGATAAGTCCGGCCGTGCGTCTCGACTCTTTGAAACATCACTGTTGCCGGAAATGCATCCACGAAGGAGCCGTGGAGGACCGTGGAGGACCCATCAGTGTATCCTCGGTTATAGCTCCTCCAGAGAGCCTCCTCGACGCTCGATGCTCGGTCCTCGATGTGCATTTCGAGAAATGAGATGTCCTTCAACATGGCGTGCTAAAATTCATTTCCGGGTCACTACCGGAGGACCGAGGAGTCGAGGAGTCGAGGAGGGACATTTGGGCCCAATCCCAAACCACGCCCTACACCCTACCCCTACACACTACCCCTCCGTTTGCGCGTTCGCGCGGAGGGTCTGCCACATTAAGGCCCCGCTCACACGAGGCCGTTTGCGTTTTATGCACAGTATTCGTATTCAAAAAAGTCTTCCGTTCACATGCATTTGTTTCATTTAACGTGTCTGTTCCGAAAACACACTGTAAAAGGGTCAAAGTTATAGGATGTATGGTTATGTTCTTACAAGAGCCAGTACTTAATGGATTAAGATGTATTGGTGAATTGGTTTGACAAGAGGAAAGAGGGTCAAAACAAAGGCCCTTACCTGGAGCAGAGATCACGAGTGCACCAAGACCCCATGCTGGAGTAGGGCTGGACATACTTAATGACCATCACGGATATCTACCAAACTTTGGTACATTATTTTGATGTGACACCAATTCAATTTACAACTTGCTTTCATTGTCACTAAGGATTGGGCTTGTCGATTAGATTTGCTCACTGAATTGGTCGAGGAGAGGTCAAGACGCAGACCAAAGTCCCTGTGCCTAATCCAGGTAAGGTTTCTCTTGTCTTCATGCCCACTCGTTGTTCTTGACATCTCAAAGCATGGACAAATTAACAAAAAACGGCCTGAATAGCTGGAGTTGAGTGAGTATTTTTTTTCTTTTGTTGGACAAACTGATGATATGGCTTGATAACTGATTTTCTTTTTTAAGATAGAGACATGATTTCACATTTCTAACAGTTCTTTTAGTTGTTTCAACTGAACCAGGTATCAGGCAATTCATAGTGATGCTGGCCATTATTTCATTAGCATGCATTTGGTGGTATATACGAATCTCTAATGGAGACTGTAGAACTATGATAATCCAAACATTTGATTGTCTTTACGTTTAGCCAGCATTTAGACAACATCCATCTGTGACCACAAGTACCAAATAGTATTGTAAATATTTATGAGCTGGTGTTTATGGACTTAGAGTGAAAGACTGATAAAAAATGTATAAACGTCATAAGCTAACCAGTGGAAAAATCGACAAACACCAGTAATGGCTCTGAAGTTATAATTTAAACATCTACATCTGTCTCTGTAATTCTTTCTGTTTCATATAATCTTTCTCATAGTGTCATGTTTTTTGTTTTTGAATGACATACATTACTTTGGATAAAACCCAAGCAAACATATTCACCAATGTTTAACTATCAAATAGAAACCATTAGCAAATACAAAAGGATTGTGGGTTAATTGAAAGTTAGTTACGACACAGAAACAGTTCCAGGCTGAACCGACTCTTTATCACTCTGAACAAACAGTGTTTTTTTATTTGTAATCATGCTAATTAACAACTAACCTAAGGCAATCAAAATACCTTTCCTCATTTTCTATATATTTTTCCCTTGGAAAAATGCACATGGGTATTCACATGACATTGAAGCAGGGGCGGACTGGCCATCGGGACGTTCGGGACGAATCCCGATGGGCCGGTACTGAAGTGGGCCGGTCGGACGATGTGGGCCGGTCGGATAAGTCACTAGCACCCCCCCCCCCCCCGTTGATAATTCACCGAGGTGGGCCGGCGGTACCGAAGTGGGCCGGTCGAGAGTCCCGGGCTGATTTGTAGTCCCAGTCCGCCCCTGCATTGAAGTATTAGATTGAAAAACATTTCAGTAGCACACTTCAAGTGTTTAAACTAGTGTTCTTGTATCCTGCCCCTCTTTTTGTGAATCTCTGTTTTAACTGACACAGATGCAAAGGATCATAGGGTTGGTCATTCAGTTTGTCCAGCCCCCTTCCAGTATGCAGATAAATGCTGGCTACTTTCTTGAACAGCACATTTCCTGTCCACACCTCTCAGAGACCGGTACTCATGATGCTTTCTGGCTTCCTCTTTCTGCTCCTCCTCAAAGGTACGTTTTTTTTTAGTCCTTACAATCTGTAAACAATCGTAATTTTATGTTATATTGTGATCATTCAACCCAGTCTCACGGCATTTCGTGTTATTAGTCACAACATTAATTTAATCTATTGATTCGTGTTCACCAACACGATTTTCACCTTTTTTTCGTGTCACACAGAACGATTTGAAATGCAATGTATTTCTATTGGTAGTATGTTTCGTGCCTGCAACACGTCTTTTTGTCCGGTCGGGTCTTGGAAGACCAGAAGCTGTGTGGTTCATAAAAACATGTTCTTACTCAATATCTTACCCTAAGCCTAACCCTATCCCTTTTATTTTAAATTGTATAATGTCTGAGTTTTTTTGCCGTCAGTGAGGAAAATAAATGGGGCTCAGAGCCTCAGAATACTGAAATCTGTATTTTTTGTCATCTTTTTTTCCTTCTAATTTGTTATTATTTGGTGCAGGCACGAAACATACTACCAATATAAATACATTGCTTCTAAAATCGTTCTGTGTCAGAATACTTAAATCTGTATTTTTTTAAATGTCTTTTTCCTTCTAATTTGTTATTATTTACATTGCTTTTAAAATCGTTCTGTGTGACACGAAAAAAATGGCGAAATCGTGTTGGTGAACACTAATCAATAGATTAATTTCGTGACTATAACACGAAATGCCGTGAGACTGTGTTGGATCATTATGGAAGACACATTTTGTGCCACTGTTGAAAAGATCTTGGCTAAAATGGGAGATGATTATAATGTTGTCTTAACATCACTGTTATAAAAATGGTGGATTTGTAATATAAAATGCAAAAACACACTCAGTATAATGCAATACGTGATGGAACCACACATTTGTAAGACTCAGCTTTTAGTGCTGTAAGTTGTTAGTGTATCAACAAGCTTTGGTGATAGCAGATGGATCTCATATGGAGCGTCTATTAACACGCGTAATGGCTTTAGTGTGACCACAATCATTTCAAATTACTGCAAATAATTGTGAACTGTATTGACAATTATGATGGGGCAAATGTTAAAGCGTCTGTGTAGCTGCACTTGTGCCCAGCTAGCTTTGAGCTATAGGCTAACATTCTCCAAAAGACAATGCTAAGAAACTGATGCTAAGCAGGTAAGGGCGCCAATACGCTCTAAACATACAAAGTACATCTGATGCTAATGGAAATGTCATTAGTTAAATTCGAACACAGCTACTCTGAAGCTCAAGGAAAAACTAAGAGCATCCTGTTTCCTGATTCATTACATTTCAATAGTGAACTCTGAAATGTGTCTTGATGTTTTAGCTTTAGATGGGAAGTCCAATGGAAGCTGCAGGCATCGGGATGTTTTACGTCACCTGAATTTAACTGATAATGAAGATGCCATGACCCAGCCTGGTATTAATTCACCCTTAAAGATAGAGCTGGATGTACTACTCTATGCTATTCTAGATGTGGTAAGTGATTGCTTAGAAATGATAAAATTACAATTATCTTTTTCAGATGTATTCTTGATGTAACAGGATATCACAAAAAATGGGACTGGCCTTTAGCAAATCATCCATGCCGTCTGTGTTTTATACATTTTGTTATGTGTTTTATATTAACAAAGAATAAGTATTCAGCTGACGTTTCTAAGTATTGTGATTCTCAGGGCTTTGCTCGATACTAACTGTGGTCTACTCCTGCAAACGGGGTCATCCCTATATATATATATATACCCTACTTTTATAATATGAAATATTTACATATTTATGTTAGCTTTTTGCTTCCGGCGATTTATGATTCGAAAATTATAAAAGTAAGGTAGACATGTGGAGATTATCCGGCTGAACAAAACGGGTTAGGGTTAGGTTAGGGTTAGGCCCCCCCCTGGGAACATAGGGCCTAATCTTGAAGAAAAATTAGAAATGTGGGACCATTGGGCTGTGGGACCATCGGGCTGTGGGAACATAGACACGCTCCCCTGCAAAAAAGGAAGCTCGTTCCCAAAGGCCTATCTTTTCACACCAGTAAATTGGGGTGGAGAATAGCTAGGAAAGCCTCACCAGCATTTGACAAAGGCTGAGGAATTTCAATAAATATTTATCAATACTAAGAACTGCTAGATTGTGCTGCTGTATTGAACTATGCATGCAAGGAGAAAAAAAAATACCATGTGGTCCAGCTGGAGTTTCATCTGCCTCCTGATCCCTGCCTCTGTCCCTCTTTCTGACACTTTATTTTCCTCTTTCTGTTCGTCCTGATCAATTCTCAGATATGTCTTTTTTGTTTGTTGAGTCACTCCAGCTACTCTGGCCTGCAAGAGTCTACTTGTGAAAAGCACTGGTACAAATGCTTGTATAACTTCACATGAAGTCTGAAAGTATTTATCAAACGCACACAGGCAGCTGTGTTTAGACCCAGTTTGACGGTAAAGGATGTATCGTTTACGTGGATCTAATAGTACCGCATAGTTTAGCAAATAAAAGTGATCGATCTCCCAGCTACCGCTGTCTGCGTAGTATTTTGTAACGTAACGCCCCAAACAGCGACCGTCTGTTAAGCGCTATCGATTCAAACAGGAGCGTTTTATTAATATTTTGTTTCAAGCTCTCGTCTTTAGTAAAAACAAAACTAGTCGAAGGGGAAATGCTCCCAGGGGAAGCTAATTCACCTTCGGATGCGGGGACAGCTCGGTCTCTCTGCAGCTGTGTGAACGCCGCTCCGCAGTTTAATGCAGGGCAGTAGCTGCGTTTAACGGGCCTAAGAGATTATATTTTAAATGATTCACTTTTAATGAATGTACTGCTTGTTTTGTTGCTTAGGTGTAGGTTTGTTTCTACAAGTAGTTTTAGGAACACAAAAGTTAGGCAGAATTCTAACGGGATCGAAAGATAATTTATTTCTCCGATGGAGGTCCACCGGAAAGGGAGGGGCTTCGGCTCTCTATAATCAATCAAGGGGGCGAAGCTATTTGGACACAGGCCCTAACACTGAGTTTGTGCGAGGTTTGTCTGGCTGGAAAGATTGTAATGCATTTATATTTTTCTCATAGGACGAAAAGAGACAGCAGTTTGTTTCTTACCTTTGGGTTGATATGGTGAGTTCTCTCTGATGAAGAAGATCTTTAAAAATGGAATTGCTTCACACCTGTCACTGTTCAAAAACCCAAATGAATTTAGTTTGAAATGCAATTCCTCCCTTGTTCTCCTCTTTAGTCCTGGCAAAATGATGACCTTATTTGGAACCCTGATGATTTCTGTGGTATTGAGAGGATTTATCTTCCTACTAAATTATTATGGCAGCCAGATCTAACAATTGAAGAGATGTAAGTTGTAATGTGTGCATACTCTCACCCTCTCAAAGCCACACTGACAACAATAACAGTGATAGAACATATTGTTTGTTAAATACCCTTTGATTGTTACATTTCCCAGATTGTTTTATTTTGTATTTTATTCTGTAGCTTCCCAGTAGTGTTCCTTGAATATACATATCACATTTTTGATGCTATATTCCTAAGCTTCTAAAAAGCAACTTTGTTCTCATACAGGACAGAGAAGGATAAAACCCTCCCGAGTTGTCAACTCATGGTTGTGAATAACGGTACGATCACGCTTAGGAATGATATGGTGCTGGTCAGTGCCTGTAGGTTGCATATTTTTCAATTTCCCTTCGACGTTCAGAGCTGCACCCTGTCATTCAAGTCTGTCACACACTTGGGTGAGCCTGTAACCTCTTCATTTGTTTTCATTTAGTTTGAATCCAACAGTTTAATGTCACCTGAAAACAAATACTCTACATTCCCTTGATGTTAAGGTGCAAAGAAACCTCACATTTTATATTTATCTCCCACCTCAGATGAAGATTTGCAGTTTGTTCCGGAGAAAGATTCCATGTGGAACGATGACTGGTCTCGCAGGATGATGCAGGCCCAGAACGAGTGGCTGTTTATCGACATGAAACCCAACAGTAAAACTGTTGACAATTTTGGTTTCAACCAAAGCATGTTGGTTTACACTGTAAGTATTTCTGGAGAATGAAACACAGAGCTGTTCAATGCTCTGTTTATCAAGTAAGTAAAAGTACTTTAGTACTGTAGTTTTTCCAATTAGTGAGTCTCGACATATGTCGTTCTTTTTTTTTTTTAAACATACACTACTATGTCAGTTTTGTCTTATACTTTGGACATACTCTACTATATGGTTTTTTTCATACTTGCAACCGACTATACCATGTTGTTTTTATTTACTGTATTTTCGACATACTAAACAATGTTTTCTTTCCCATAACTTTCAACATACTATACTACGTTGTTTTTTTCATATATTTTCTACATACTATACTGAAAACACCTTTTTTACATTCATACAGCTAAGTGCATAATCTATCTTCTGTCACTCAAACCAGAGTTTAGGAGCACTGCTGGGTTTTATTTAGCAAAGTCTAAGGTTGGGTTAGTTTTTAACACCTGACCCTTGAATGTTTTTTCACAGATCAGGATGAAGAGGCGTTCTGCCCTCTACATCGCAAACCTCTTAGTGCCCATCCTGTTCTTCTTCTGTCTGGACTTGGCCTCCTTCCTGATCTCACACAAAGGGGGCGAGAAGCTCAGCTTCAAGGTCACTGTGCTGCTCGCTGTCACTGTGATGCAGCTTATTCTCAACGAGATTCTACCTGCCTCTTCAAACAGGATCCCACTTATAGGTAAAGCAGCCCAGGGTTTGTTTCTGTGCCTGACTTGGTGGTTATTGGTCAACAATAATGATGTTGCCATTCCTTCTTCAGTGGTCTTCTGCATTGGAATCTTTGGTTTAATGATGCTCAGCCTCATGGAGACGATTTTGGTCATGCATCTGGTCGAAAAAGACAATGAGGCAGATAAAGACCAAATCCTGAGTAACGACTTTGGGGACAAACTGGAAAAAGACAGCTTCCAAAACAGTTCTAGAGGTGAGATTCCCCTCAACAAGTTTAGACGTTAATCTATATTTAAATCATCTCAATACATACTTTTAAATGCACTAACCATGTTTTCTTCTAACTCTTTTCAGTCGCTGGCTACTGGACCAGAGTGTCGAAAACCATCAGCAAAGTTTTCTTTATTTTCTATTTAATAGCTGCCACTGTGTTTTTCCTATGTCTGTATTTTCTTTGGAGAAGAGTAGAAAAATGGTGAAAATAATTCTAAATAACACCTAATACTGACAGCAAGTAGTGCTGCAGGTCCATTTGTGCAGAGGCAAAGATGAGATTACAAAGTGTTTGCCCTCACAATGTTGGTGCCAGTAAGTTGTGTCCTACCCTCTCCAAACTTGTCTATAATCAATCACCTAAACAATAGTTTTCCTGATTAAGGTATATTTGGCCGTTCAGGTAGTATTTAATCCTTCAGTGGTGTTACAACTACACACAAATACATTTGCATGTTGTAATCTAAACAATGGTTCGCATCAAACACACATTGTATAATATTAGTCAAGTACAAGAAAATGTCACTAAGTAGTACATGCATGCCTTTGCTAAAAACAAAGTCCACAAATACAACTATTTATAAATATTAAGCTTGCAGGTGCAACATTGAAAGTTGTCCAACAGAAATATATCTTTACTGTGTACTTTAATATATTGGGCATAATCCATTCAACATTTTTAAATATGTAATAATTACATTACATGTCACTTGTTAGATGCTTTTAGTGTCTTACATACTCAATACTGTGGACAATCCCCACAGGAGCAATTTGGGGTGAAGTGTCTTGCGCAGGGACAGAACGACATGCTGACTGCAGTGGGGTTTGAACCTGTGACCCCCTGATCCGAACACCAACGCACAACCCACTGCACCACACGCCTAACCATAATAATGACAGATTTAAAATATTTAAAACAAAATAAGCATTAAATTTAGTTCCAGCAAATCCATATAATACATGTTCTCACTACTTTGTTCTGCAGGAGTCTTATCAAAGCTCGATTCATAATACTGCCTCCCCTTTAGCCAATGCTCTAACATGAACGGAAATTAATTTCTTAAAATCTTTTCAATGGAGGCTGAGAAAGAGGAGTGATCAACTCATTGTTACGAGTACGGGCCACAAGTTAGACTAGTCAAGACCTACAATTCTCAAGTCCTGTCCTTGGAGTGTCAACTCCTAAACCCGTCATATTGTGCTCTACACCGGTTTTGACCGCATGCTTTGCACATTGCAGTAAAGTTTTTTTGCACAAAAAATAAATTACCTTTGACATGTAAAACTTGAAAACTTGTCAGGTGCCACTTTAATAATTGTTTACTCATCTGTTATATTCTGAATATCTCAAACATTTTTTATAAATAATTGTTTTCAGTCTTTCTGTGGTTTTTCACATAATGTGCATTACTCTGTCTGCTTTCTGTACTCATGATCTCCTGATATCTACTTTCTGCTGATTCTAAAGAGATGTAACAGACTCGCTGTAATGCAAAAAAATAAACATTATAAAATAAAACCTATTCCTCTTTGTTTTTTTTAATGTGTGTCTGTGTATGGGCAATGAGATAGAACCAAAACAAAAAACTGAAACAATAAGCTGAAAGACACTAAAGTGCTCCTCAGCGCGAAGGGGAGCTGTACACAGGGCCGGCCCTAGACTTTTGGGGGCCCTAAGCGAGCTTTGGCTTGGGGGCCCCCCTCACTCTAGCGCGTTCTCACTTCACAACACGGAACCAACTTTTGTCTTATGATGTTAGCATAAGCACACATATTGTATAAATAAGCATGTAAACACCGTGGACCTAACATCCTCTAGGGGGGTCCTCACGTCCTCTAGGGGGGCCCGGGGGGCATGCTCCCCCGGGAAGATTTGTTTTTAAATATTGAAGTTAAAAGCATCAATCTGGTGCACTTTGAGAGCAAAATTAAGAGATCTATGGATACATCTCTCAACACCCATATGAAACAGAACTGTAAACAGATTTTTCTTTATGGATATTTTACAAATCACTCCCCTTTTAAAATGTATTCTTGTTTGTATAGTATTTCATAACTGTTTTTCATTTATTCTCTCTGGCTGTCCATCTCCTAATGTTCACATAGAAACTAGCTGTCAATAGGAATATCATTCAGAAGAATTATAATTTCATGCAAAAATCTGTCACAAAAAGAGATTGCACATTTAAATTCAGGTGTTGTTATGACAACGTCAGTGGTCAAACAGCCACATTTACTGCTGCAAATACATTCAAACGTGCTGTCGACACGTAAAGCAGTGGCAAATATGCCACCATTTCAGCTGACTTTTTCTCAGAAATACTGTCACATAACATCCATATATTTCAGTGCTAGGTTGATGCTTAGCTAAGCTAACTATGAAACACTTTAACTGACAGGACTCAGGATCAACTGTGTACTGTAAGGTAGCTTCTAGCTTCATGTCGAACAGTAAGTCAACATTTTCCAGAGAGCTTTCTTTGAAATCACCAGGTAACGCGAAAAAACATAACTTTTAGATTGTATGACAAAGTGTTTATTTAATATATCTGGCTAGCTATAGCTACTTGCTAACAGTTTAGTTTACCCCCGCGATTCAAAGTAACGTCAACGTAGCTGTAGTTTATGCTTTGCTTACATGTTCGCATAACTTGGAAGTTTACTGACATTTACATACCTTGTTTACCTGGCTCAAGTGGTGGCTCTGGGGTTGTTGTGTGAGCCACCACTTGAGAATTGTTGTATTTTTTAAAAACAAATGTTCTTATGTCCATCTTCAAAAACTCTGAGTCCGACTAACAGTTTATTTTAAACATTGTCACAGCTCACAGGATAGGTACCTGTCAGCCAATAAGACAGATGTGTATTTCCATTCAACTCTCTGGTTGGTCTGGTGCCTTGCCTCTGTTGCACTGAACACGGGAAATTACAATCCTGCCGTCCTCTCATGATGAGGTTCAGGTAAAGCACGGTTAATGTATTATATGATTGACTCAATAATAGAATACATGAGGTTGAGAGTAGGCAATCTAGGCATATTAACAAAATTAATTAAACATACTTATCACGGCAATGGTTAGCAGTGGCTGCGGGGCCCTAAGCGGCCGCTTATGTCGCTTAATGGGTCGGGCCGGCTCTGGCTGTACCCGGAACATTTAAAAAAAAAAAAGTGGATTCATCACTATGAGCAATTACTTAACTATTTAAAAGTCTTATTTAATTGTTGTTTATATTTCACATCATTAATCAAAATCTGAAAAGTAACTAAAGGTATTAAATAAAGGTGGTGGAGATACGATTTACCTCTGAATTGTAGTGGAGTAGAAGTACAAAGTATAGCAACAAATGTAAAGTAAAGTACAAGTATCTCAAAATTGTAGTTAAGTACGATACTTGAGTAAATGTACTTAGTAACTTTACACCACTGCCGGTATTCCTAGACTCTGGTACTTTTTAATCAAGTACATTATCTGAGTACTTCCCCCACCTCTGTACAGAGTCTGTTCCCTAACGTCGCTGCTGTGTGTCCTCCAGTACTGCGGGGGGCGCTGATCGCTTCATCGTCCCTTCGCTGTCGTTCAGTCAGTGACGTGGATCTTCATAGAGGCAGTCAGAAATCACTTACTACTGTCTTACTTACGTCTCAGAGCTTTTCCACTAACTTTCTCCACCTTTAGAAGTTGGGACCACTCATTTCACTTCCTTCGTGTGTCACAGTTTTGTCACCGCTTTTGTAACAGGTGAGCAAATCGTGCGAGACGTCAATGTTAGCTCTCTGCTAGTCAGAATGAACAGCAGTCTGTTTAAATGTGTTCAAAATGCCCTCTTATCAGTGTTTATTTTTCACATTTACTATACAGCCTCCAGAATGAGTAAAAACAGCAAAGTGTTGAACCTGAAGGATAAAATCAATGGGAATGAGGTGGACCTGAGCCTGTGTAACCTCACCGAGGTGCCAGTCAGAGAGCTGGTGAGTTACATTTCGTGTCTCAGTAATTGTGTGAAAATGTTATAAAAATGTCTTGTATACATGTGCTGTATCTTGGAACATAATGCTGCCATGCTGTGGTTGGTTGCATGATTTTTGTTTCAATTCGTAATTAAATCTGAATTTACTCGAAACATTTTATTGGTCTGTTATTTATCCCCAACAGGCTTTATTCACCAAAGCAACTGTAGTGGACTTGTCTTGCAACAACATTACCTCCCTTCCTGTAAGTACGAACATTAATTATTCACCTAAATACACCTCTCCTTAAATCACCGTTGTATACATATAAAATTAAAACTGACGTCACTGTATTTTTGTTTTAGCAAATATGATTATAGATGAATATAATGAACAATTACACTTTTTCTAACCTTAAACATAACCTGCAGATTGCTCAGCGTTGTCAATAACAATAACAAAGTATGAATATTAAGATTTTAGTTCTTATTACTTTGGCTGCTTTTCCTTCCTGTAGCCAGAGTTCTGCAACCTCACCCACCTGGTGAAGGTGGATCTGAGTAAAAATCAGCTGACCTGTCTGCCAGATGACCTGGGGAACCTGACCAGCCTTCAGCATCTGGACCTGTACAACAACAAGCTGACTGTCCTGCCTGTCAGCTTCTCTCAGCTCAGGGTGGGTGCCACACACTAGCACTGTTCTTGTATCCTAAGTGATAAGGTCACGCCTGAAAGAAGGTCTCAGACTTAAAGCTTGCTTATTTAAAATGTTCTTGTGTAGTTTGAGTGTGCAAATGCTCTTTTTTATTAAGTTTGCTAGTCTTAAACTCCTGGATTTCAGCTATATCTGATACCTAGTGAGCAGTGTTTTTCCCTTGTGTGAATATATCAAAAATTATGATGATGGACATTCAAAAACATGAATAGAAGCTTCAAACGACTTAAAATACATATTCATTAGTCATCATTTTATTACGGAGCCCCTAAGTGGACATGGACAAAAGAAAAACGTTCCCATGCTCACAAATTACCAGTGCACACAGGAGGAGGTGGAGCACCCGAGGGAGACCATTATGTTTATGTGTTGAAATGACAGTACAGGAATTAATTAGGTTATATTTCAAACTCAGACTTCATTTAAAGAACATTTCGGCCAGCACAATAAACTACAAGATCACAAGATATTTTGTTTTTTCTATGTGTTTAGGGCCTCTGTATGTTATTACCTTGTTGGTTGTAAGAAATTGATGTCCATGTAGACTCAAATGTAGTTCAACTTCACATTCTTAAGTCCACAATATTTTAGGTAGTGTCTCTTGTTTTTGATTTGATCTCTGACAGTATTGCGTTGTGTGTGTGTGTGTGGTTGTGTTTGGTCCATTTTTGTTCATTAGAGTTTGAAGTGGTGCGATCTGAAGGATAACCCACTGGAGGCTGAATTGGCCAAGGCAGCAGGAGACTGTCTGGACGAGAAGCAGTGCAAACAGTGTGCCTCCAAGGTGAGAGACGGAGAGATTAACGCTTTGGAAAAGTTGAATTAGGCAGTCTCTCTCTAGTATCTTAAACCAAAGACATTTTCTTCCAGGTCCTGCAGCACATGAGAGAACTTCAGGATGAGGTCGATCGTGCACGAGAGAAACGCCTTTTGAGGGAAAAAGGTGGGTATCAGGACATCTCTTTATTTCAGCCTCAAAATGTTTTCAACAGA